ATAAAATATAAAGCCAAGCCGGTCACCCGCCTGAGCGTGAGAGTGTGTCACTGCTGGCTAGGAAAAAACCCAGACTTTCATTCTTTAACATGGCCCCAAAATACTAGAGCATCTGGTGCCAATACTTACAGGCGTCGTTTTCCACTAAGTTCCGTGTGGATTTTTTTCCTCCGGGGAAAACGCTTTAAGTCAACTCAAATGCGCAACAAAGGACACAGTATCTATTTTATTTCAGCATTTAACTTTTTTGAATTATGTAAAAAAGAGCCACTTCGTTATTGGATGAAATTCTCTTTTGCAGGAGACAGCGAGGGAGTGTCTGTATATACAATACTGCTACAGGAATATACTTGTGTTTGAATTGCAAACATAACCTTAAAAGTGGAAAGGAGCATGGTACTCAAAAGTCGTTTAAAGTTATTTTTAAAACAAATTTTTAATGACAATAACTTGAAAAGGTAAAGAAGAAATTTACTTTTGTTTCCAAATTTGTCCGAATGCTTCTTTCAATAACATCTCTACGCTTCTTTCAATAACACCTCTTAGAACTGAGTCCTGCTTCTCTAGTATGACATTTAACTTGAATAAAAAAATGATTTAGAGGGCTGGCCCTGGGCTGAGTGGTTAGGTTAGCGTGCTCTGCTTCGGCGCCCGGGGTTTCTCTGGTTCCGATGCTGGGCACAGACGTGGCACGGCAAGCTGTGCCGAGCCGGAGTCCCACATAGCACAACCGGAGGGACCTACAACTATGCACTGGGGGACTTTGGGGAAGAGAAGAAGGGCAAAAAAAAAAAAAAACGAAAAAAGATTGGCAACAGATGTTAACCCAGGTGTCAATCTTAAAAAAAAAAAGATTTAATTCAATTCATTGATAGCTTTATAACGTGTAGCAGTTACGCTCCATAGTGCTTAGAGTGTATTCTGGCTCCTTTTTCTTTCTTTTTTTTTTTTAAACTTTAAATCAGGGGGCCAGCCCGTGGCTGAGTGGTTAAGTTCATGTGCTCTGCTTCAGTGGCCCAAGGTTTCCATGGTTCCCATCCTGGGCTCGCAACTAGCGCCGCCCATAAAGCCATGCTGAGGCAGCATCCCACAGAGCAGAGCCAGAAGGACCTACAGCTAGAATATACAACTATGTACTGGAGGGCTTTGGGGAGAAGGAAAAAAGAAAAGAAGATTGGTAACATGTTATGGCTCCGGTGCCAATCTTTTTTTTAAAAAAACAACTTTCAATCAGGAAACATACATAGTATCTTGAAATTTCACAAAAATCAATATTTTCTTGGACTGGGCTTCATGTCGTAAAATTTTTTCCATACTGATAGGGTTGAGATCCAGTGGCCTGGAAGGTCAAATGGTCCAACTGCCCATCCCTAGCCTCTATGTGGGGAGGACAGGAGGAAATCTTGCATGGAGGACCTATTTTGCACATAAAAAATGCTGGGAAGATTTTAAAAAATACTTATGCCCAGGGCCCATCTGCCAGAGTCTGATTTTCCTAGGCATCTGTATTTTTAAAGGCTCCACAAGTGATTCTCATGTGCAGCCAAGGTTGAGAACTATGGTTTAGGCAGAAATGTTCCATTTTTTTTCTCTTATGGGCTGAATAAAATGTTACTCTTTAATAAAGGAACTGAGTAGTTGTAAATAATATTAATAAGGAATTAAAAGATTTTCCCAATGGGAACATCAAGAAACTGTGTAATGGATTTAAGTATCTAGAAATCTGAAAGAGCAAAGCAAAGTATAATCAATTCTTAGATGTCCCTTATAATCTGTATTCAATGTAATATTGTTTGTAAATGATCTAATCAAACTCAAAGGTAAAGAGGTGATGGCATTATCCTGGTCACTGGTTTCCTATCTAAAGGTGATAAAATGTCCAAAGGCTTTTGCTGGTGTGAATAAAACAAAAAGGGATGGCGAAAAGTGTTTATCATGCTATTTAAGTATGTACATTTCAAAATAATTTGCTTTTAAAAGTTAAGAGGCCCTTGGCTTCTCTTGTGTGTGGTTTATTGCTTATTAACATATTTGACTTCTTGTTGGCATTAATACAAGTTCTGTAGGGAAAAGGCTAACATGTCAGAAAGTGAAGTTTATAGATCCCTCTGTGGATTTCATTTTCCTGGTCTATTCATGGTTCCATTAGCATGAATAGTAAAGAAACACCCGTATCAAAAGAAAATATTAATTATACTTCACAATATATAAAGCCGCTGGCTAAATAGTGCCATTTCTGTGATAATCTGAATTTTACCATGGAAACTCTTGTAATTAAAGTCTCGTCCTTTACATAATATTTATTCTGTATAGGATTTATCCACATACAATAATGTCAGTTTTAAAACAATTGACTGTTACTTGCATAAAGTCATCTCACAAAATAGAATAATACACAACACACCTCAGTGAATTAAGCTGATCTTCTAGGATTCAGAAAACTTGATCATTCTAATTATTCCTATTTTTGCCATGGTTTCACTGGGTTGTCTTAGGTAGGTTGCTTTACTCTCTGCCTCAATTTCTTTACCTTTCATGTGGGATAACTGTCCTATTTCATAGATATGTAAAGAATAACAAAAATTATTAAATACTTTTCAAATATAAAATGCTATATAAATGATAAATAGTAATACTGATCCACGCCAATATAAAATAACATAGAACTTTCCATTTAGAATCTAAAGTTTGGTCCTCCAGTACCTATTATTATCACCCTTCCCAGTTAAACACATCTTACGCTGTACTGTTTTTAGTGATTTACCACAGCATTAATTTTAGGACTCAAAAAAATAGATATATATACAAAAACACAATATGAGTGGAAGTTTCAATATATCTTAGCATGACTTGGCAAAATAACTTTAATGACTTGAGTTCTGAGTTCATAAGTAACTGAAACACCAAACTTTTTCATCCATTGAGCAGTAACTTGGCCATATACTGTTTGCTTTGATTTCATTATTCAAAAATACAATATTGAAAAATTTCTTCTTGAAAAGTCTTAAGATATGATAACTATAGAAGTAGCATTGTCTACCAAGGAAGTGATTCGCAGCTCTAAGAGACCCTATGGTTACTGGCTCGTAAGCACAGTCAGAGGAGTAAGGCAGAGAGACTGCAGTGCTGAAAGGGAATTCAGTTACCTTGTCCCACAGTTGTCAGTGCTGTGCTCCTGAACTCTGCAAAGGTGTCTGGGGAAAGGCTCGCAGGGAGCTTTAACCAGAGCACCTCTGATTTTAGAGTTTCTCCCTTAAATGCTGAACTTCTCTATGAAACAATTCATTTGGAGAAAGGGTTTCTTGGGTAAAAAAAAAAAAAAAAAGCCTTTAAACTGCTGATCTAGTCCATTACGCTTCCTCCACACACGAGGCACAAGTGCACTGGTGCTTTATTTTTATAAAACTTCATCCCATCAACCAGACACTCGAGGACCAGCGTTAGAAGGGCGTTCAGAAGCTGATAAACAGCATTACCGTAAGAGCAAACTTTGGTCTAACCAACTTATTATTTTCTTAAAATTCAAAAAAGAAATCCTTGGCATAAATAAAGCTTATATTAACAGATTATACCCCTATGTAATATTTTCCCACATTTAAAAGCCAAAGAATTCGGTTTTCTTAGAAACCATTCATGGACAGTTTCACTCTAGGAAAGAACTGGTCTCTAAAGTCTTAGATATATATGATATGATAACTGGAGTTATTATTTACAACTTACAAACATCGCAAATGTTCTTTTATGATCCTAAAATAATAGAACAGATGTGCTGTCTAGTTAGGTGAACTTGATAGCTGTTTTGTGGGGATTGCTTGATGCTTGTTATAAACAATTATGAGAAAGCATTATTTCTGATAAGGCTCTACAAGTGCTGGTGGCACTGTGTTCAGTGGACTTTGTGGACATTCATGCCAATATATGTAAAATTTGCATGCAAAAGATAATAGCATAAAAAAACATTTTTTAGATCATAGACTAAAGTGCGTTAGAGTGTACACATGCAAGCACTACTTCATTTCTATGAATAAAGCTCAAATCAGTCATTTTTCCTATGGGCTCCAATGACTAAAAATCAGATTATAATTTTGAAAGATGTTACCATCATCTGGTGAGACGAGAGTATGACAAGTGTTCCCTCCCTCATTTGGATACAACTTAATTGTTAACACTCCTGATTCAGGAACAGTCATGTTGGGAGAACAATGGACTCATGCTCATCATCCAGTCTTGAAGCAACTGGAAATTTACTATCAAGGGAATCTTGAAAAAGTCTCAGAATTAAGTACCATAAAACAAAGTGGTTATTCATCTATTTATAAAAAATTTTAAAGATATTAACCATTTTAGCTCACAAATTGGTATCAAGGACAATCATTCATTAAAGAATAAGAGAAGATAATAACATAGAAAGTATCATCTTGAGGTATATGTCATGGCATTTAAAAATAGAGTATAGGGGCTGGCCTGGTGGTGCAGTGGTTAAGTTTGCACGTTCCGCTTCTTGGCAGCCCGGGGTTCACCGGTTCGGATCCCGGGTGTGGACATGGCACTGCTTGGCAGGCCATGCTGTGGTAGGCGTCCCATGTATAAAGTAGAGGAAGATGGGCATGGATGTTAGCTCAGTGCCAGGCTTCCTCAGCAAAAAGAGGAGGATTGGCAGTAGTTAGCTCAGGGCTAATCTTCCTCAAAAAAAAAAAAAAAAAGTCAGCCTAAAAAAAAAATACAGTATAACTCATGGAGCCTCTCCCTATCAAAATTAAATTATATCAAGCTTAATTGTGATATCTTGCAGAGACCTTTATGAAGGTCAGTTCTTCTGGTATTTATATTTTATCTTTAGAATTAAGATAATCCTTCTCCAATTTAACTGTAATTTTGCAATGTTTCCTAATTCATACAGGGCAGGAGTTTAAACTTAACTTTGTATCCTAGGAGAAAAGTTTGTTGAAAAATCATATAAACAAGAGAAGCAAAAATGCATAAAGCATTTAAGAGAATAATTTGTTCATATAGTTTTATATATAAAATTTACACATAAATAACATAAAAACATGTCAATAGATACTGTAGGGACATTATTTAGGATTATTTGAATAACTACTTCAAGATGTTATATATTGTTGAAGATGATGAAATTCTTTCTCTTTTACACTTTCTAATTCTGATAGGCTTCTTTTTATGATTACTGCTGATTGCTAAGGTTTGACCTCAATTCTTGGCCATTTCAGGAGACAACACAGGGAGAGAAAGTTGAAAAAGGACTGTTTAAAATCAAAATCTGTCCAATCCCACCCCTTAAACTTTCTGACCTTACTTTGCTCATTTGTAAATCAGAGACAATAATATTTACCTTGCTGCTTAGGTGAGAAAATGAGAGAGAGCACTTTATAAATAATATAGCAGTACATAAACATTAGAAATCACTCTTAAGAACTGGTAAAAGTTCTTCACTCTACTTTAGGTTTTGGGGTTTTTTTTAAACAATACTGACTACATCAGAGTAATTTTTAACTTAATGAAAAAATTTAAAAAATGAACAATTTCAAACATTTTAGATTTGTCTTCTGCCATAATCCTAAAACATTTAGGATACTGGAATGACAATAGGTTGTTTTAGATCTGAAGTTAATAGAAAGACTTAACAGTTCAGTCAGGGGGGGTGCCAGGCCTTTAAATGTGCTCTTACCTGGTCTCCTGTGAAAACTCAATATTGGTAGTTTATGTGTTTTTGAAACACCTTGAAAGTATCTTACGTAAACTTTGGTTGTGGTAAATTTATTTAAAATATTTCCTTTGAAAAGAGTTTGCTAAGTAGATCTTCCAATATTAAAAGAAAAAAGGTATCTGTGTAGTAAAAGTAAGAAGATTAATTGTTCCTCCATCATACCAACTCAAGCTAGGTCTTTCTTCCCAGTGCAGCAACACATTTTAGGGCAACAAAGTTCAGAATGGACACAATGGCCTGTTCAGAAAGCATGCAAGTTACATCAGGTCACTACTTTTACGTCAGTCTGATCAATCTGTTAACCAGACTCTGACCATGGAAAGGGAGAGAGACAGAAAGTCAGTGTAAGTTGCAGACATGCCAGCTCTGTCGGTTCACATTACAACTACCTAATGTTGGGCTTTATTTCCTTTTCTTCTTCTTCTTCACTGTCATCAACCTGTTGTATGACCAGATCAGCAGACCCATCCTCTACAATCTCCACGTATGATCTATTCTCATCTTCACTCAGGTGCCATCTGGAATCCTTGTCTCCATCTGATGGGGACATAAGATGCTGTTCAGCTTCCAAATCAATGGGGAGGCTGTCTATGCCAACTTCAGCGAGGCACTCATTACACAGCCTGTAGCGCCGGGTTCCTTCCTGGACCACCTGACCCGTTAGATCAGTCACATGGCGTTTGCATTTCCTGCAGATTAGTTTGCATGCCTGGTGAATCTGTGTAGAGATTTAAAGAGTGAAACAAAAGGATTTTTCAAAAGCAGGACAGTTTGATATTCTAGGTACTGGTTCATAAACTTAAGATGTTCAAAGCCAAGCATTAATATTAAATTAACATCTAGTTTTTAGAAAAAGATCACAGGTTTTGGCGATAAATTGATGTCACAGAAATATTAACACCAGCTTTCTCTAAATAATGGCTATAATGTTTTTACGATTAATATTACATATTTGATAATTTCACATATTCCTTAATCCAATAATATTTTAATATCTGCGGTAACAAGGGAAACCTACGCAGACTAACAATAATTGCAAACACTTAATATATGCCATGTTCTAGTCTAAGGACTTTATATATCTTAATTCAGGGGGAAAAACCCTCTCATTTCATGTGAGTATTACTTTTTTGTTATTTTGCTAGAGAAAGAAAAAAAATATTGTCCCAAATTTAAATTTATCACAAAATATTTTTGGACAGAAGGATTGCTTGCCACTTTTATTAAGGAAAGATCTGGAAGAAAGAGGACTGGACTACGAATTGGAAGGCTGGGGTTCTAGTTCTGGTTTTGTCATTTACTAACCTTGTCATTTACTAACCATGTATCTTGAACCAAGTAATTTAAAACATAAACCTGCTTCCAGGGTGATAGTCAAAATATTTAGCCACTGGTAAGGTATGGGCACCACCCAAACTGAACAGAAGCCTCACTAATCAGAATGGACACTGGTTATAAACAACCACTATGGTGGTTCTGTTACATATCAGCCTATTATTATCCCTGCCTGCCTCCTTATTGGGGAATACAATCCCCATTAATCCCCTTAACAGGGCTGCAACTCAGGTTGTGAAGACCAAATGAGTTAATATGTGTGAAATGCTTTAGGAAAAAGTTGTAATTGATGAATAATTATATATTATAGTTAGTAGTAAAAAACTTTGTTCAGTAGCTGTCAGAGCAAGAGATTATAGGTTCTAATCTAAAAATTATTACAATTAATTGTATAATGCTGAATTAATGTTTATGGTATATTCATTTAGATAAAGTCAGAACGGTATGGATGGAAGTAGGCCACCAAATACAAATAGTTAAAAAAACCAAGAAAACTAACAACGGTCTGGCAAAATATCTAAAAAATGTATGGGACTACCCCACTCAGTACAATTATCTTCTGCCTAACCACTGACATATCAGTCGGTAAATACTGAAAGCACACAATTTGAGTGTGCCCTTATTTCTCCTGAGATAGTAATATTATGGTTATCATAGGAGGCATTGTTTTTGTTACAAAGTTCTGACAAAATTCATGTTCACCCTCCCAACTCCAATACAATTATGAAGTCAAAGAAATTAAGGGCCAACCCTGTGGCCGAGCGGTTAAGTTCACGAGCTCTGCTTCGGTGGCCTAGGGTTTCCCCTGTTCGAATCCTGGGCGAGGACATGACACCGCTCATCAGGCCGTGCTGAGGCAGCATCCCACGTACCACAACTAGAAGAACCCACAACTAAAAATATATATACAACTATGTACTGGGGGGCTTTGAGAAAAAGGAAAAATAAAATCTGTAAAAAAAAATTAAGATAAACACTATAATGTTAAAATTGAAAATATCATCAGAACTCATTGTTTAAAAAATATAGATCTTCTAGCTCTGTCCACTGAAACAGTGTAAAAAGAATGACACCCTAATGACAATGAGCACGCTAGCTGTCCAAATTTTGGTTTCTAATTTTATTCTCCACTAAAAGGATCCACAACTCCTTTGAGATGGCTGACTCCAGTTTTGTGGCAGAGAAAGTACAAGGTGAGCCTAGGGCTCTTTTGGAGCCAGAGAACAGGGACACTTTGAAAATTTAATGAAGTTGTGACAGAAGGACACAAGAGCCAGCTTCAAGGTATTCCCACTGGACAAAACTGAAAATTTGAGTATCCAAAAGAATAACTGTTATGGATCCAAACACAATGAACCAATGAAAATTCATGAGACCGTATGCTACTTAAAAAACAAAGCCAGGAAAAACTCATATATCATTTGAGGCTACTAGCAAATCAACTCTGTTCTTTGAAAATTGGTAGTTAAAGGGAAAGAATTAAACATTTATCCTGCTTCTCCTGTAGGAACCCTATTTCAGAGTAACCAAATAGCCCAAAGTGATGAGGGAAAGCTTTACTTTATAGAATTCCAGCTGATAATGAAGAAGGAAGGATAAAATTAGCAAATCATCCCACAACTCCACGTAAAATTAATAATCAGGACAGAGATTATCAATTGGTGTTAATGTCATTGTTTTTTTTTTTTTGAGGAAGATTAGCCCTGAGCTAACATCCGTGCCCATCCTCCTCTACTTTATACGTGGGATGCCTACCACACAGCATGGCTTGCTGATCAGTACCATGTCCACACGTGGGATTGGAACTGGCGAACCCCGGGCTGCCGAAGCAGAATGTGTGCACTTAACCACTGCACCACCAGGCCGGCCCCCAGGTCTTAATACCATTAAAGGGATGGTCGATGGGGAAATGGATAGTCATTTAATACCAAAATAGCTCCACACAGATTCCTTTCTAATCACAAGGCAGCACCTTTAACTGTACAATGGTGAGATCATGGTATTACCCTAATCCAGTGATCAATATGAACAATATGAATAATGGGTCCACCAGATATTGTGTGTCTCCTAATGTGACACAAAATGAAATACACAATTTCACCCTTAATGTGTTGTAGCCGAAAGTATTTAACTTGAATCCATTAGGCCTTTGGATAAAACCTCTAGTTTATAGAAAATGCAGGGGAGACAGAGGAACAAACTAAATGGCACCATGTGGAGGCAAGCAGAGAAATCCAGAGGTAGGATATTTTGTAAAACAATTGGCTCGACATCTTCAGTAAGTCAGTGTTATGAAAATAAAAAGGGCGGGGGGGGGGAACTATGGTAGTTTAAAAAGCATTTAAGGGACCTAACAATGAGATGGAATACATGGTTCCGCATTGGACAAACCAGCTAAAAAAGGCATTTGGGGGATTATGGGAAAATTTGAAAATTGAACTGGGTGGTATATAAAATTTTACCGAGATGGGAAAGTAGAGATTGGTCACTAAAGCAAACAGGTTATAAAACAGCACGTACAGAGCTGGCCCTGTGGCCTAGTGGTGAGGTTTGGCACACTCCACTCCAGCCGTCCGGGTTTAGCCCCCAGGCGCGGACCTACACCACTCACTGGCAGCCATGCTGTGGCAGTGACCCACATACAAAACAGAGGAAGACTGGCAAGATGTTAGCTCAGGGCAAATCTTCCTTAAGCAAAAAGAGGAAGATTGACAAGGGATGGTCACTTGGGGCGAATCTTCCTGAGCAAAAAATAAATAAATAAATAAAGTAAAATAGCCTGTACGGTATGACACTCCCGGTCAGAGACTGGACTGTCAGCAGTCAGAAAAGGCTCAGGGAATTTGCTGTTCAGTGCTCTGATGGTTTAATAAGGTAGTGACACTGGAATTATTCTGCTGTTCATCTTGCAGCAAGAATTTTTTCCAAAATCTATGTTCTGTTACTCATCCTTCTCTTCCATTTATATGGGTCATTTTAATTAAAGGACAACGGGTCACTTAAGCTGATTTCTTCATGAGTTGCTTTATAGTTAGTTATTCAACAAATATGTTTTGAGCACCTCTGTGCAGCCCCTTTTCTAAGTGCTACGTATACAGCAGGGAGCCAAACAGACAAAATCTCTGCCTTCATTAATCTCACGAAGCTAGATTTTTTAAAAATTAAAAACAACCTTTTATTATTACAAAAGCAACGAAAATGTATTATAAAAAGTAAAAGTTAGGAAAAAATACCATATTTTTACCACCCAGATATTATCATTCTTTTTTTTTTTTAGGAAGATGAGCCCTGAGCTAACTACTACCAATCCTCCTGTTTTTGCTGAGGAAGACTGGCCCTGAGCTAACATCCGTGCCCATCTTCCTCTACTTTGTATGTGGGACACCAACCACAGCATGGCTTTTGCCAAGCGGTACCATGTCCACACCTGGGATCCGAACTGGTGAACCCCGGGCCCACTGAGAAGTGGAATGTGCGAACTTTAACCACTGCACCACCACGCCGGCCCCCAGATATTACCATTCTTAATACTTTACCATGTGCATATATATATATATATATATATATATATGGGGTTTTTTGGGGGGGTTTTTTGGTGAGAAAGATTGACCCTGAGCCAATATCTGTTGCCAGTCTTCCTCTTTTTGCTTGAGGAAGATTGTTGCTGAGCTAACACCTGTGCCAGTCTTCCTCTATTTTGTATATGGGACGCCTGCCACAACATGGCTTGGTGAGCGGTATGTAGGTTTGCACCCAGGATCTGAACCTGCAAACCCCAGGCCGCCGAAGCAGAGCACACGAACTTAACACCTATGCCACCCAGCTGGCCTCGGGTTTGTTTTTTCAACCAAATTAGATCGGCTCTCTTGCTCACCTTGCTCCCTTTCTTTGGGAGATTATAGAGAAATGAGAGACTAGAAAGGGGGCGTGGTGGAGAGAGGTGGGACAGCAGAAACTAGACTGAAAACCCACCAGATAAGGACTCAAGAATCACTAGTAGTTGCTGAGTCTCTGAAGTGGTGATTCTGACCTAGACAGTTAAAACATTTTCACAGTTTACATCGTCTTTGGCTCTGAAAAGGCCAGTATATAAAAACATACTAGATTTTAAGTGTATTAAAGTGGATATTCAAAAGAATCTCTCTTCCTTCAAGGTCTCAAAGGAGAATAAAAATCAATATATGTATATTAAATTATGCATTGTGTGCAAGGTAAAAACATTAAGTTGGAAAATTTTTTAATATGGTAGAGTTGTGTGAAAAGATTTTCCTGAGTAAATTAGATTATCCTAAAGCAGATAAATGCACATATTTGTTAAGGAATAAAAGATGAAAAGTCATATACATACTGTTCGGAAATGGCTACTTAGATGGTCTAGCCTGCTAAATCTTTTCCCACAAGCTTGACACGGATACGGCCTTTCTCCTGTGTGACAACGAAGGTGGCGCTTTAGGTCTGCTTTCCGCTTCACCACGTGCGTACAGTATGGGCACTTGAATCGCATCCTGGGCAGATCATCTGTCAGGGGACAGTTTGATTAAATCACTGGAAAGTTCATAATAACAATTCTTTTTTTTTCTTTTTGAGGAAGATTAGCCCTGAGCTAACTGCTGCCAAGCCTCCTCTTTTTGCTGAGGAAGACCGGCCCTGAGCTAACATCCGTGCCCATCTTCCTCTACTTTATATGTGGGACGCCTGCCACAGCATGGCGTGCCAAGTGGTGCCATGTCCACACCCGGGATCTGAACCAGTGAACCCCGGCCGCCGAGAATCGGAACGTGCGCACTTAACCGCTGCACCACTAGGCCTGCCCCCAATAATAACAATTCTAATAACATAAAGCATCCAAAAGGAGTTGGTGAATCGAATCTAGGAAATGTAGGAGAAAATAAGAAGAAAGAAATGTTATTAAGACTAGATTATCAATGTAATTGTAAGTACAGAACAATAACTTCCATGTTTGATATATTTACAAAGTCTGGGTAAATTTGAGACTGTCACACTCATCATTTTATATAATGTCAGAGTCACATTTAAAATTTTAGATTTAAACATTTTTTAATGTTTTTAAAATTAATTTAAACATTTAGATTTTTTTTTTCTGTTTTCCAAAGCTTTATTGAGGTGTAATTTACATGCAGTCAACTGAACACCTTTAAAGTGTACAGTTTGATGAGTTTTGACATTATATATACATCTGTGAATCCATCACTGTAATCAAGGTAATAAACATATCCATCACCCTCCAAAATTTCCTTTTCCTCCTCCTGTAATCCTACCCTCCAATCTCTCCTTGTGACCCCCGTCCCAAGGCAACCACTGATTTGTCACTATAGTTTAGTTTTCATTTTCTAGAATTTTATATAAGGAGAATCATACAATATATACTCCTTTCTAAAAATTTGGCTTCTTTTACTCAGCATAATTACTTTGAGAATTATCCATGTTGTTGTGTATCAGTAGTTCATTCTTTTTTTATTGCCAAGTAATATTCCTTTGTATGGATAAACCACAATTTATCTATTCACCTGGTTCTGGACATTTCCAGTTTTTGGCTGTGTTATGAACATTCACATTTATATTAGTGATTATAAATTATATTTATCATAAACTAATCCCTCTCTACTGATTCCACTTCCTTAGCATTTAAGCATTAAACATTTAGATTTTAAATGCAAAAAGGTAATACTGGATTTTAAAACTGTAGACAGATTTAAAAAGTAAAAGTATTTAATATTTAAGCTTTTAAGTAACTTGTTTTATTTACATATTTTTATCCCCTGGTACTATTCATATACTTGTAATATTTTTCTTTTAAACGTGAAAAAATTTCAAGGATCTTTAATTTTTGTCTTAAAACTCATATGTTTTCAAAATATTCGTTGTGACTGGAGGAAAACTTCATCAATTTATCAGCTGTTACATTCAGCTGGTCATTATTGAAGTTACATTTAAATAACCTAGAATTATAAAAGTGCACAGCCCAAATAAAGACCACTTTTTTGCTGTTTTAAAATGCAACAAAGATTTCCCATTTATGCACTTTCATTGCCTTCATCAATGGTTGGAGCAGGACCTTCAGTAAGCTCTATAATATGGCACAATTTCACATATTTTCAAGTTAGTAACCTACAGGAAAATGTGATTAGTAAAGATAATCAGGGTGCCTATTGTTTTAAAATACATTAGCTAAACGAAATTATTTTTAAAAATTTATATGACAACCAGGGAAACATGACTACTGACTAGCTATTTAGTGGCTGTTAAGGAATTGTTAATTTTGTTTAGGTATGATAATGGTATTGTAGTGGATTTTTTTAAAGATCATATTTTAAGGATACCTTCTGAAATACTTACAGATGAAAACTTCTGATGTCTGAGATTTGCTTAAAAATAATAAAGGGAGGGGCCAGCCCCACGGCGCAGTGGTTAAGTGCGAATGTTCCACTTCAGCGGCCCGGCTTCGCCAGTTTCGGTCCCGGGTGCAGACATGGCACCACTTGGCACACCATGCTGTGGCAGGCGTCCCACATATACAGTAGAGGAAGATGGGTATGGATGTTAGCTCAGGGCCAGTCTTCCTCAGCAAAAAGAGGAGGATTGGCAGCAGTTAGCTCAGGGCTAATCTTCCTCAAAAAAATTAATTAATTAATTAAATTAAATACAGGGAGGGGTTAGGAGTAGAGGTACAGATGAAATAAGATTGGCCATGAGTTGAAAGTCGTTGGGACTCAGTAATGGGTACGTGGAGGTAAATTATACTATTCTCTTTACTTTTCTATATGTTTGAAATTTTTCTAAAGTAAAAATTTTAAAATATCCAATCTAAATCTTATAATCTGCAGGAGTTTCATTTTATCATAATTTTCCTTTAAATTCACATGTAAACTATTAAGCAAATTTGCCAACTGATTAGTTGGGGGAGAAATCGGGTGACATGCAGTTCTTATCCCTATTTTCTACTTCAGTCTTATGGGGGTGAGGAGAGGATGACTTTGAAAGTGTCAACCTACATAATCTCTCTGCATTTTGCCACTATCATAAAAATGAGATGTCTCACGTTGTTGCTGCACATAGAATTACAGCATCAGTGTTATGGGTTATGTGTTGTTTTTTTAAATTATGTATTTATATCTTAATGTAATCAGATGTAGTCTTTTTTTTTCTTTTGAGGAAGATTAGCCCTGAGCTAACATCTGCTGCCAATCCTCCTCTTTCTGCTGAGGAAGACTGGCCCTGAGCTAACATCTGTGCCCATCGTCCTCTACTTTATATGTGGGATGCCTACCACAGCATGGCTTGCCAAGTGGTGCCATTGTCCACACCTGGGATCCAAAACAGCAAACCTCGGGCCAGCAAAGCAGAATGTGCACACTTAACCACTATGCCACTGGGCCGGCCCCCAGATGTAGTCTAATTTCTGTTAGATCTTGTGTCTGGGAACCTTTGCAAATATGCATGGTTGCTCTATTTAATTTTTCCATATAAAAATACTCCTTCCCCAGGGAATACTCAGAAAAAAAATACTTAAAGTGAAAATATGTGTCTTAGGAATTGAACCATTTAGAAAAGAGCTTTAAACATTTAACCGTAATCTAATCACCCACAGACACAGGTTTAGAAAATCATGGGTTTTGAATCTCAGAACTCTAGTGTTTTGACTGTTACTAAATTTATTCAATATTATTTTTAATATAAAAATTTTAAATTTACATTTTTTGAAATAAATTTTTTTAAAAATTAAATTAAAAAAAAATCACTTGGTTCAACTGCCCATAACACCTAAAAGTAAGGCCATGTTGAGATAAGTTGATTTATCTAAGAGTCTTGGAACCTGACTGAGGGAGTGATTCTCTTTTTGGGTACCTGGAAAATTTCTGGATGTGACATCAGATCCTTGACCATACTGATAGCCAACAGGAGTAGAGTCCATTTCAGCATCAATTTGTGCTGGTTCTTCAGCTTGGGAAATGTGGCTGGAAGAATCAGATGTCCGTGCTTCTCGTTTGCTTGACTTATAATGAGCAACTTCAGAAGGCTGGGACAACCTCAAATGTTTGGACTTTTTAATGGCATCTTTCCTTTGCTCATGCTTGGCCAACGGCTGCTGAGTATTCCTTTGGGAGGCTGGATGGTAATTATACTTACTCCAAGATTTTCCACTTATTATACCTGTTCCTCGATCTGGGCTTAGGTGAGAGTGCGGAGAACTGCTTTCCTCTTGCCAGCCACCGCTATAAAAAGAGGAACGTTCTATACCATTAGAATTGGCATCTTTATCGGAGAGACTGAAATAGCGATCTTTTTCTTTCTCGCTAATGTCTAATGAAGATTTAATAAAGGTCTTACATACACTAATGACATCGGTCATCTGAAGGAAGCTAGCAGCTGACATCACTTCTATGACATTCTGACCAGTAAGAGAGAGTTTGCCGGAATAGACGAAGTCCAGGATCACCGTAAAAGTGTCAGGGGAGAAAGCCTGAAACGTAGCTGTGGTTGGCTGACTCGTCTCCTTTGAATTCTGAGAAAGAAGCATTTTAAAGTAGCCACTACTGGCAAACAATACATTCCGGTGCGCTTTGAAGACCTTCCCTTCAACGAGGATGCTGCAATCACAGAACACGTCCTGCCTGCGCTGCTCATTCAGCTGTTGCAGGAGGTGCGACTGATGAGAGGAGATCTCCATTCTGCAGAGGAAGACACACGTGGTTACCCAAACGGAGCAACAGTGTTCTTCTAAGACGAGTCAACTAAAGTAATCATCAGAAACCTCTATCTTTTCTCCATTAAAACCACTTTCTTCTCAGAGAATATAGTCTCCAAGACACGAAGACAATAGATTTCAAGATATCATTAAGACTACCCCAGTGGTTATTAGATTGTTAGATAATTATTTGTTCAGTCAGTACACTTTATTGAGCATCTTCTATCAATCGAGCCTGTGGCTGTATGCTGAACTAAACAGGCTTGATTCTTCCCTTTGTGTAGTTTTCAATCTAGAGGGGGTATCGGGATTAAACAAATAGCCAGATGAAGTTATAAATGTCAAGTGAAGTGCTAAGACAGAAAGAGGGCCTATGAGCAGTATACAAGGGTAAACTAGTTTCGATTGGGATGGAGAGGGTTAAGGAATACCTCTGAGAAGTAACATTTGACTTGAGACCTCAAAGATGACCAGGAATTAAACGAATGAAGAGTGAAGGGAAAGATTTCGGTCCCAGCAAAATGGTGGTCTAGAAAGTGCTGAAACTTTCCTGCCACAAATCTCTAGAGATGCTTGCTAAAATATAAGCAAAATTTTTTAAATGTATGGCTGGGCTCGCAAGAAGGAATAAGAAATCTCTAGGTGGGGCTGGCCCTGTGGCCAAGTGGTTAAGTTTGTACGCTCCACTTCGGCGGCCCAGGGTTTCACTGGTTTGGATCCTGGGCGTGGACATGGCACCGCTCATCAGGCCACGCTGAGGCGGCATCCCACATGCCACAACTAGAAGGACTCACAACTAAAATATACAACTATGTACTGGGGGGATTTGGGGGAAAAAAGAAAAAAAAGAAAAAAAAAAGAAAAGAAATCTCTAGGTGCCAGAAGTGGAGAAGAAACAGAGCTGGAGGAGCAACATGGGCTTGGGTTTATATCAGTAACACAAGCTGGAACGCTCCAAGGACCACAACCTTAATGAAAAGGGACTAGTACCCTTTGCCTGTAAGTCCAGGGAAAGGGTAAAGAAAGTTTGTCTTTGCAGGGTCTTCGGTGGAAAAAAAAAGTCCCTAGATGAGATATTCAAACCCCAGATTGTACTCTGTGAGGTTCTGGAGTGCCAATGTATTTACCTGCTTGATGTGGGAAACCTCAAGCTGAAAAGTAACATGAGAATTAGTCCTGGGCTGGGGGTGTCCCTGGGGCACCTTGCAGGAGCAAATCCAAAGCTATCAGGAGGGACACTCAGAACCCAAGCCAGGTAGGAAATACACTCTGCTTAAGCTGAACTCAAAATCATTCCCCTCTTTATACAAAGTGGATCGTTTCCACCATCGCACCACCATGATGTCTAACATCTCCTATCTTAAAAACAAACAAGCAAATAAAAACTTTGCCTTGATTTCACATCTCCCTCTGGCTACTACTCCATTTCTCTGCTCCCTTCACACAACATTCGTTGCAAGAGTTTTTTGTTTTGTGGTTTTCATTTGCCCTCTTCACTTCTTCTCCCATTCTCTCTTGAACCCATGCCAATCTGGTTTGCATCCCCAGGCATCAAAACCAGTTTTCTAAGATCATTAGTAATTTGCATGTTGTCAGATCCATTGGCCATTTCTTTGTCCTCATTTTACTGACACAGTGGATCACTCTCTTCATCCTTAAACATCTTCTTCACTTGACTGCCAGGACACCACTTCTTCACCGTTCTTCTCCTACTGGCCACTCCTTCTCAGTCTCCTTTGCTGGTTCTTCATTTTCCTAATCTCTAAGTGCTGTGGGATTCAGGACATGCTACCCCAAAATGTGGCACTTTGGCATACTGAATATTTTGAATTGAAGGAGTTTGAGAAAACAGAAGCAGGAAGGTCACTCTGACACCCTCCACCCTTCTCCCCTGCAACAGGTCACAATCTCTCCTGTGAGAGGTGCCCTCCTTATACCCAGAGGAAGGAGCATCCTTATCTCAGAGACAAAGGGATGCTGAGAAGAATCTGAACAAACACAGATGAGTTTCCCCCAGTTTACTAAACTTACCTCATACTCCTTAACCTACCACATTCCTCCACGACTGTCGACTCTTCCTCAAACCTAGCATAAAAATACTCGGGTCTACCTGTTTCTTCAGGGCTTCATTTCCTTATGAAGGCTTCCATGTCACATAAAACTTATATTAAGTAAATCTGTTTGCATTTCTCCTGCTAATCTGTCTTTGTTAGTTTAATTTTCAGACCCAGCCAGGAAGAGAGTGAAAGAAAATTTTTCCTCCTCTGCAGCTGCAACGCCCCAGGCCTCAGGCCTCAGACCTCCTCCTCTCTACTGATATCACTCCCTAGAGGAGCCCATCCAGTCTCACCGTTTTAAATACCATCTTTGAGCTTATGACTCACAAATTTACATGTCTACCCCCAACCTCTCCCTGAACCTCAGACTCATGTGTCTATTTACCTGCTTCTCCACTTAGGCGTTTAAGAAGCATCCTAAAGCTCAACATATCCAAAACCATACTCCATTCACCCTCACCTGAAACCTGCCTTTCTTATCTCTTAGCCATCTCAGGAAATGGTAACTCCATTCCAGTTGTTGACACCAAAAACACTGAGTCATCTTTGACTCCGTGTTGTGAGCTTTACCTTCAAAACAAATACAAAATTCTGCCACTTCTGTCCCTTACTGCTGTTACCATCTTGACCCAGGTCACCGTCACCTATCGTCAATAGCCTCCTAATTAGTCTCCCCGCAACTTCAGTCTAGAGCGACCCTTCTAAAACAAGTGAAATGACGTTACTCCTCTATGCAACGCCCTCCCTTGGTTCCCCACCTAACTCTGAAGCTCTTCTCATGACCTAGATGGCCCTACATGTCCTGCATCTCCCCCCTCCCGGTACCTCTCTGTCCTCACAGCCTCTGCTCCACCCTGATGCACTGCATTCCAGCTAAAGGCCCTCTGCTCATTCCTGAACATTCAAGGCGTGTTCCTGCCACGCAGCCTTTGTACTCACCCTTCACACTGCTTGGAAATTCTTCCCCCAGATATACATGTGGCTCACATTCTCACATCTTTTAGGTCTCTGCTCAAATGTCATCTTATCAGAGAGCCTTGCCTTTACCATCCTGTATAAGCACCCTCCCACTCTCTATCCCCTTATTGATTTGTTAATTGCCTGTTTTCTCCTACTAGGATTTAAGGTCCAAGAGAGTAAAGATTTTGCCTCTTGGCAAAACAAAGGTTTTGTTTAGTTATATGTCTCCAGTTCCTTGAACAGCACTTGAGCACACAGTAGATGCTCAGCCAACGTTGTTGCATGAATAAATCAAAAATGTTAAAACATACAAGGAAACCATTCTTTAGGAAGAACAATTAGCAGGCATAACAGGAGAATTAGAACCCCAAGAATTTCAGAAAACAGAACGAAAATCTGATAGACTATTACATAAGTATGTTTAAAATGGTCAAAGAGATAAAAGTTGATATAGACTAGCACACAGTTATGAACATAGACACGAGACAAAAGTAGCCTGATTTGCAAGTCTAGCTCCCCCACTTACTAGCTGTGTGAACCTGGGCAATTTATTTACCCTCTGTATCCCTGTTTCCTCATCTGTAAAATGAAACAAAAAACAGCACTTATTTCATATGATTATTGTGAGGACTGAATGAACTCAAAACAGAGTTGGGCATGTAGTAAACACTCCACAAACATTAGCCATTCTCCTTTTACTTTGCTTTATTATTATTATCTACAAGAAAAGAAACCAGGAAAAAAAGAAGAGGCAGGTGTGAAGAGGAACTGAATGTATTTAATACATGAAAAATATAATTAATGAAATTAAAATGCCTCATGTTGCAAAATGGCTGCCCATCTCCAGCCTCATGTTCACAATCCTGGCGGGAAAAAGACAAAAAGACAAAAGGCAATTGTCAGCCCAGTCTGTCTTCTTTTTTATCAGGCCAAAAAAAAAAAAAAAGCTTGCCTGAATGCCTCATCCAGGGGACTTACACTTGCAACTCAATCGTCAGAACCATGTCACCTGATTTTTAAATGTGCCCTCACACTCACTAATAGTATATATTAATTTTCACTTTTTCATTTTTACCAACACTTAGTGTTAGCAGACTTGTTAATTTTGCCAGTCTTAAGGATGTGTAAGCGGTATATCACTGCTTTTATTTGCACGGACTGAACAACTTTTAATGTTTGTTGATCATGATTCAGTGAATTGCTTGCTCATTACATTGTTCTTAACTAACACTGCATAACACTAACCACAAAAACAATGTTCTACAATAACAAATATTTAGTTAGCTCACATGCCTGTGGGTTGGCTGATTTAGGCTGGACTTATGAGGGCAGCTCTGCTAATCTAGCCTGGGCTCACTCGCATCTCTAGGAGTCAGCTGATTTAGGCTGGACGTTGATGGGACAGCTCGTCTAGGGTGGTTGTGTTATTACAGCCTCACATCTTCCTCCTGGGACCAGTGGGGCTAGCCTGGACAATTTCTTCTCACGACAATGGCAGAAGTACAAAAGACCAAGTGGAAACACATGCGGCCTCTTAAGGCTTAGGCTGCAACTGGCACACTGCCGTATCTACATAGTCTCCTAGACTACAGCGAATCACAGGGCAAATCCAAGGTCAAGGGAAGAAGAAAGATCCTCTGCTCTGTTAGCAGGAAGAACTGAAAAGTCACGCAAGAGAGGGTGTGAATATAAGCAGGGGTGATGAACTGGGGCCAATAATGCTATCTACACAATATCTTATTTTTTTAATTGGGTTTTCTTTTTCTTATTGACTTACAGGTATCCTTTATATATCCTATATACTAATCCTTTATCACTATACGCCTTCCAAATATCCTCTCCCACTCTGTCTTTTTAAGTTTATTTAAGGTAGTTTTCATTAAAAAGAAGATTGGTTTTAATATAGTCAAATTTATCAATCTGTTGATAGCATATGTTTTCTGTATCTTGTTTAAGAAATCCCCTA